TATGATCAGGAATTCTGTTTTTCTTCAGCCTGTTAATATTTTGGATTATATTGATCCAATTTGGCAAATTGAATCCCTTTCACGCTGGGAATAAACCCTACTGGGTTATGGTATATAATTCTTTTCATATGTTGCTGTTGCTTTTATTTTGATAAGAATTCTTGAGACTATATTTATGAGAGATACTGGTCTGTAGTTTTCTTTGTATTTTTTTTCTGCTAAGGATTTTGTAACCCTTACTATGTTTTGGAAAGCATCAATCACAGAACCAGTTTTAGCCCTGCTCCCTGGTCTTTGTGCCTGTTACTTTGAGATGTACGTGTTTGTTCCTTAAGCTCTGTTCCAAAATACTGAATTCCCTTGGTTGAATAGTTAACTGGCACAGCACAGGAACTCTATGGAATGCTTGGTAGTGTTTATAATCAGTATTGTATGACTCTATGATTTCATGGTTATGCTGTGATGTTCTGTGGCACCTCCCACCCTATTCCCAGGAACTTAGTCCCAGGAAAGATTTGGTGATAAATTGATATTGAAGTTTGAAATCAAAAGACCTATGTCTCAATTCTGGTTCCTGAATTTAGTAGCTATATTATGTTGAGCAATTACTTAGCCTCTCTTATTAAATGAGATAAAGGTAAATGGATCCATAAACTTGTTACTACATAAATACCAGCTTTATTATCATTGATCCTTTAGTTTTATAGGAAAGGAAAATACTAATACTGATTGTTACAATCCAAACTATTAATATTTTTTTCAGTGTTTCTCTGATCATTTTAAATATTACAAAGTTCTAAGCAAGAAATGAGACTGAGATATTTCAAATACTTATATTGATTTAATGTGAAATGATGATTTTTGATTTTGTATTTCAGCAATATCTGTTGAGGAATGTGATGTTTACCTTATCTCCTCTTTGTAATTATTTTACTGATAGCTCTCTTTAATAAAGTAATTAATATTTTTCTAGTATATCCCCTCCTTTATGTTAAAATTAATCATATAAATCTAACAATAAAAATTCTTCTGTAAGTTAAACATTGAGTACATGTGAACACAAAGAAGGGAGCAGTGGACACGGGGCATACTTGAGGGTGGAGGCTGGTAAGTGGGTAAGGATTGAAAAACTACCTATTGGGTACTATGTTTGAGTAATGGAATAATTTGTACACTAAACCCCCACAAAATGCAATTGATGTAGCAAACCTGCACAGGTACCCCTGAGCCTAAAACAAAAATTAAAATATTTTTGAAAACAAATCCTTATGTGAAGTGGTAGCTTTGTCATTTTTTATTTATCAGGAATCATTCTTTAGCATTATATTTAAAAGCAACTCTGAATAAGTAATGGTACTGAATGGTGTGTTTCAGCCCCCAAGTTTAAATCCTTAGAGCTTGGAACTGCCTACTGGTAGGTCCATTTCTGGATTTGTTATGGTGGTTAGTGACTAAGATTCTTCCTCTTTTGATGCCTTTGGTTAACTGGAGTCGGCAAGGCTAAATTTCCCATAAATGTTTAAGTGAATGCCCCTTAGAAGAAAATAACTCCTTGAACCAAAGAAGTGTTTTTTTTTTTATATACTTAAATGGATTATATATAGGCAATTATTGCTATACATATAAGACTATTTGGTCAGAAAGTTTAACTCCTAGAGTAACTCCTAATGGGCAGATTTGTACATTATCATGACTGAACAACATCTTTCGATAACCATGTGAAAAATCTTGATGAACCCCCTACTATCTGTTGAGAAATTGAGAAATAATGTGACAGATGCAAGTTGACAACAAATATTTATCATCAAATATGAAAGGATAGGTATGTAAGGAAATGACATTTCTGTGAGCTAACAAATTCTCAGGTGGTTTACAGAATGGAAGCTTTTGGCCTCAGAACTTCTTTGCCAGTCTGCTTTCAGTTAGCTTCTTTCATTGTGATAATTATGTGACCTCATATTGAATTTCTTCATAGAGGGAGGTGTTACACTCTTTTTGGGCAATGCATTTCAGGTCCCTTACTTAGCCCTAGAGCACAAATTCTTCTCCTGTCCTCATCTTTCCTCCCAACTTTCAAGTTATAAACTAACATTAAAAAGAAGTAAACTTTAAAAATAATCCTCACTTTCCAGAGTGTTTTCCTCTTTGTTGCATAATTGTCTAAATCAGGTAAAGTAACTGTAGCAAAAACATTGACAAGAATAAAGTAAAAAAGTGTAATACTTCAGCATCCTGTTTCTGTTTTTTTCCGAGATCTAGATTAAAAGTAAATATAGTATATACCCATGTACATATAGACACAAAAATAAATAGAACACATGCAAATGTTTTCTTCATTGATTTGTATCTTTCTAATTTTGGTGAACATATATATTTTTTAATGTGTTTACATCCATTAAGTAAATTAAAAATCTTTAAAATTTCTGTTGGCCTTTTCATGTTTTAAAATGAAACCTTGTGATTCACATTTGTTTTAGCTGGAGTCACATCAGAAGCCATGCAGACTATCACCACTGCTCCTGATGCCTCAGGGCCTGAAGCCAAAGTCCAGGAGGAAGAACATGACCTTGTTGATGATGACATCACCACTGGTAAGCACAGACATCTTTAACATCTGGTTGGAGCTTTGTTTGACATTGCAAAATGTTTTCTAGATTATTTGTGGTGAGATTAAGTATTTTGATGGAAAGGATGGAAACTTGTATTGCTGGTGTATTTAGTTTTATGAAACTGTTTAGTGTCCTTTTTGATCTTGAGGTGAAAAGAAGTGGAACTGTTTGGTCCAGGTTTGCTCATTGTAGCTATAACAATGAACCTGCTAGCTGTGCACTTGTTTTCTGGAGACCTTTTAATTCAGAGGCTGCGATCATTACTAAAGCCTTGGCATTCGTAGAGGAATATACTCATTAAGTTTTAAAGATTTTGCAACTATCAGGTAAACTAAAGAATACTAAAATTTAATCACAGTATCTACAATATAGGCTGTATAAGAAAACTTACTCTTTATACCTATGCTATAGAAATGAATGCTGCTTTTTAAAAGTTATTTACTTAGGATACTGAACATTCTTACTGTATTACCTTTCACTTAAAGTGAAATTTAGGTGAAAAACATAAAGCGAATTTTAGGAAACTCACATACTATAAATGCTTAGCCTATCTTTTTATACTCATAAGCCGGTTTCAATTACTGCATCTCTCAAATGCATTCAGCTCAATTTCTTTGAATGCACAGAGGATAGAAACAACCTAGTATAAATACTTTTATTGGTATTAAAAATAATAAGCTTTTGTTTTGGGTTTGGATGGTTAAAAGTTAAAATTTGATTATGAAGTGTATACTTGTTGTGCAGCAACAAATATTTAATAGTAATCAATAATTTAGAAAGAAGCATGCCCAGAAAATTTTTCAACAAAAATTAAAGGGAGGGCCAGACACAGTGGCTCACACCTGTAAGCCCAGCACTTTGGGAAGCCAAGGCAGGTGGATCACCTGAGGTCAGCAGTTCAAGACCAGCCTGGCCAATATGACAAAATCCTGTCTCTACTAAAACAAATACAAAATACAAAAATTAGCCAGGTGTGGTGGCAGGTGCCTGTAATCCCAGCTACTCAAGAGGCTGAGGCAGGAGAATCACTTGACCTGGGAGGTGGAGGTTGCAATGAGCAGAGATGGCACCCTTGCCCTCTAGCCTGAGTGACAGAGCAAGACTCTGTCTCAAATTTAAAAAAAAAAAAGGGGGGGGGAGGGAGCGAGCTTCCTTCCGTCCTTCCATCCCGCCATCCTTCCATCCCTCCCCGTCTCCCTCCCTCCTTCCTCCCCGTCTCCCTCCTCCCTCCTCCCTCCCCCTCCCCCTTCTTCCCTCCCCCCTCTCTCCTCCCCTTCCCCTCTCTCCTCCCCATTCCCCTCTCCCTCCTCACCCTCCCCCTTCTTCCCTCCCCCTCTC